ACCTGTCAACGCCATAGAGAACCAGAAATTAGCCCTACTATTTTTTTTTCCCTTTTTTTGGCTTTAAAGAATTCCAAATCTATATAACAACGTTCTATAACCAACTAAGGAAGAAAAGAATTAATTTATTATGCTTGCATTCACAATAAATAATTTTTTACGAAGGTACAATATATATTTATTAATATATACGCTTATATTTAATAACTTTAATATATATATAACTCATATAAACCATTTTAAATGATATTCTAAATTAACTTCTATGTGCATACACATTCAAGTGGTATAATTATTAATACATTTATATATATAAAGATGACCTGATATAAGTGATATTCTGTACATTATATACGTTTAAATATGGTCTTAATATAACAACGGAATATAAAACATCAATCGTCGAACTGGAGGAAATCTGAAAATTTAAAAAAATTGTACTCCTCAAATGGATTATATGTTTATTATTCCTAATATTTTATCCATACAGAAATAAAGTCCTATTCAATCACTAAAAATTGAACCAAACTTTATAAAACTGTAAATTAAATTAAAATAAATGAATAATGACTGAAAAAGATTTCTAGTTGGGATAAATCATGCAAAATTACTTTCATTAACATTTTAATAGAATTAAACTGTATTTTAAAATTCAAAACTTTCTCGTGTAAAAATTACTTCTTCCGCGTAATGATCGATTGTATGCGAGTTCCGAGAGGGTGGGTTGGTGCTTGTCCCGGGCGAGCGACGCCCCAAACGCGCTCCGTGCTTTGCGCCTACTCTAGTGGACAAAGAATAGTTAAGGCTGGAGGGTGCTGACTAATCGGCGGGCCTCTCGGCGCCGAACTGTTTAAGAACCCTCTCGTCCGTCGGTTTCACGCCGCATTTTGTAATAGACCAAGTCGAAGTTTAATAAATTTATTTCACTCATCAAAGAATTAGGTGTTCGACATACAACCTTTTGTGGAATATCGAGTCTCGCGAGACGCCATCGCTTCTTTTTCTTTTAAAAACTGTGGCGAATCTTTCCCTCACCTGTTCGACGAACCAGCATCAACAACATGCGGGCTATCTGGTGAATTTAACATGTTAAAAGAACAAACCAGTTTCCAATAAAGCATTCGACCCAACAGTAAATTTGTAGGCTTTTTCGAGGTTCTATCGAGTATTTGGTACGAACTTTACGCTGAAACTGTATTGCAGAATTTGTTTTGTGAATTCAACTCTCCCCGCTCCCACAGCTAAGCTCACTTCTTACCATTTCAACAAATGAAACTATACTGGTGCTCCTGGTGACCTAAAATGTGGTAGTTCTGTGGAGTACGTCAATCATTGAGGCTCTACCACACAATGACACTTTGTAACAATTGTGTAAGTTATCTTCAATAAACTGTAATGCTTTTGAAAGGTTGTATGTTTGTTTGGTGATCATCCTGTATTTTAGCCAACTAGGATTAATTTGCCTGATGATTTGTTAACAAAAACTGAGTCCAACAGCGCTGGGTCCGGCAACTGGCGATACGGAATCGCGGCTTCGTTAATCGCGTCTTTGGTCATCGCGTCGGGCACTTACAGGTCACTCTGGGCTCCGGTCGGGCACTTACAGTCACGGCCCGATTGCGATTGTTCCAGCCAGCGTCCCAGAGACGGAATAGCAGACATCCGCTGGCAAGATCGGTGCAAGACATATAACGGAGACACAAAAAAAAGAAAAGATAAGAGCAGGAAAAAATGGAAGCAAAGAGAACAAGTGCAATAACACAGCTGGGCGACGTCCCACGACGAATAGAAAAAAGAATAAAAAACAAGAAAAAAAAAGAATGAAAAGAACAAAAGGACAGAAAAAAAAGAAAGGGAAAAAAAGGGAAAAAAAAAAAAAAAAAAAAAAAAAAAAAAAAAAAAACAAAAGAAGAAAAGAAAAAAAAAACGAGAAAAAAAAAAAAAAAAAAAAAAAAAAAAGAAGTGTAGTCAAACAAACACGAACCCACAACCCTCGGCAGGAACCCAACCAAACCATCGAACTGGATGCTACCACTAGATCGGAAAATCGGAATAGCAAGGAGGCTCACCTCTGTCCTCGTCGGCTCGCGAGTGGTTCTCGGTTAGAACGGAACGCACGCGTCTTGTCAAAAGTTCTGCAAACCGGAACTCAATCAAATTCCGAGAGGCGACGGGGACGTGACGCGAAACGTCTCGCTCGAACGGGAACGGCTATATGTCGTACACAATGCCAGCCGGTCACCGGATGCAAGCCTCCTGCGATAGGATGTACCAGACAAAAAAGGGCTGAAAATTATACTTCGAGCGATTCGCGACTCCGAAAGCGCAGCAGGTACAGAAAAAAAACTGCACGAAATAATTCGAGGCGATACTTTCGCAACGCGAGCGATAATAACCCAAACAAATAAAAATTTTGTTAAAACGGCGTCGAAGACACACTCGACCACGTGCAGAACGGAATTCCATAAACAAACAAGAGAACAGTTGAATAGCCAAATGAAAAACATTCGAAACTAGTAGGGTTACGAATGGCACACTCTTTCCTGTAAAACATGGCGTTATATCATTTCGTAGAGTTCCATTTAGACCTATCTATACCACCAGCTTAAAAAAAACTAGTTACCAAATTTCTACTACTTTGGAATAATTCATAACAAGTTTCAAAACTTTTAAAACAGTCTTTCAACGGTTTGCTGTATAACCATTTGAACATTGGCTTCATAAAACAGGAGGGAAAATTTAATCAAATTTAGATAATGTTGGCTGGGGTGAGTTAGCTCAAAAGCCCGCAAAGTCGCTATCTGATGGGAGATTGTAGGTTTGAATTCTAAGAGTGGCGTAATTTTCAACACTAGCTTATTTAGATAGGACGATTTGGACGCTATCTGGATGCGAGAATTCTAGAGGCCGGCATGATTCTTTGATCGGAATTCTCTGTGATTCGCAATAAATCTCCAAGCGAATGTCGTAAAGCATACTCTATTAAACGCGTCCATGGGCCCGCACGCGATATTTCCATTTCCTCTTTGTCTCCATCTCTCTCCTTTTCTCACACAAAACTTCACCAGCCCTACACAACCGCAATTGTCTGAGATCAAATCGAGAACTTAAATGTTTACAGTGCAGGAAATCCCAACCACTAAAATTCTTTTTCCAGCCAACAGCAGAATTCGAACATAGCTGAATTTACTTAGGACAATTCCGTCCACCGTCGCTAGACTAACACTCAGGACCTGCTGGTCAGAAACGCTTCTGGTGTCATAGTTGTGACTTTCAGCATTTCAGCTGTAAATTCACAAAGATTCCCCCAAAAGTACGATGTGAATCTACATAAATATCGGTATAATACATTTAAATAATAGGTTCGGATAAAGTACCTCTAAGAATATGGGTATTGCACGTTCCGTATGCTCTTGCAATTTCCCACAGCATTAAAGTAACGGACCAGTAATCTATAAAATAAAGACTGTAATCCAATACTTATTTGCGTTTGAATGGATGTTTTGGATGATATGATACTTTTTAAAAAAATGCATTTTAAGTTCCTAGGCTTTTTCATCTTTAACATTGCCAACATTTCGAGCCCATTTGGTCGGAGTTCATTTTCAAGGACTAAAATAATCAGAATAAATATATATGTAAATATATGAAGTTAAAATAGAGGAATAGAAAGACCACAGTAAATGTATAAAGGATACGTGTAAATATTATTGCGAGTATTATTAAAACGCAGGGCAAGAAAAACTGTGAAGCCACGTTGCAATGCGAAAATCACCGAAGAATCCATGGGCATCAATGCAACAAATCCAATCTTCATTATTTATTGCTCATTACTGCCCCGAACAACTAGGTAACTTTTTCCAGAAGAATGACTCATCCGCGAGTAGAAAGAAACGAAAAAGTAGGTGGAAAGCTGTGAATCACGGACCGCTACGCGTAATAGTATATTTCCGCAATAAGCGTTCGGCACACAAAACAGAACAAGATCGCCTAGACAGAAAAAAACAAGGAAAAACACGTGGCGCGGGCCGCGGTTCAGAGGGCCGAGGCCGAGTGGCAGGTGAGGTCGCACAGCGGGACTGCGCGTGCGCCTTGATGCACAGGGAGGCGGTGAGCGGCGGCGCGGCGCACACGCCGCAGCAGGCGGCGCGCGAGGCCGTCCGCGCCAGCGCGTGACGGCGTCCGCCCCTCGTTGTCCGTTGGCCAATCAAGCTCGCCGGCCTGCGCCAACGCGGCGGCAAGCGCGAAACGGGGCTTCGGGTGGCGTTCAACCACAGCTTTGATTACACCAGAATAAACTAGTGGCGCTACCACATTGCTACGCGCTTAAACCCTATTATTTTCTATCGTCTTTGCTTCTCGGCAGCTACATCGCGAAACTTGCCACTACTTCTTGCCAGCTGGCCATCTATCGTCGCCTAAAGTAAAAATTGTTTATATTATCTTAATTTTTCCGAGTTTCCTAACTGTACAACGAAAATAAATTTTCAGAAATTAAATAAACAGTAATCGACGTACTTAATTTCTCCATTTCCCTTCAAAAATTCAAAGCTTTTTTAAGGAAAACCCTTGTTTTTTTTAATTTTTTAATAATTGCACAATTGCCACGCAATATTATGCAAAAGATCTAAAATTTTCAAGAGAAAGAGAAAATGTATATCTTAGCCTCAGCTATGAGTAGCGCAACGGCGCGAAAGAAGGAAAAAAAAAAAAAAAAAGAGGAGGGAAAAAGTCAGACCGCCGACCGTACACAATGCTCCTTCCGCTAAAATAAAGGAGAGGGCGAGCATGTAGTAACAGAAAATTCTTTTTTGTGGGCTCATGATACGATACGAAAATGGCTTAAATAAAAATTATAATATTACTACAGCTTCAAGCTTAACGTTCAAATGTAAGAAAATTTACAACAACAAAAAACAACAGAATTTCTCTTAAATTTATGATATCTACATACCAACCTTCATCGATATCTCATGAATTGTACAGCGCGTTAAAAACGGTCAATGGCGAGAAGTAGCAACATAGTTACCCTGAAACAAAAATCGAAGACATATTGGTTTATTATTGTTTCTTTTTGAACCATTCTATATCTATATGCTATTAGGAGATCAAAAAATAGATTATTTTTTCTTATATTAATGGCCAAAAATAAAGTCCCTTACTTCAGATATGCATTTTCACAAGATATGTAATTTAAATAAATTCTTTGTATGCTATATAACGCAAATGTATATGGTCTCTGAAAATGACATGAACAGTAGAATGGTAATGGTACTGTGAAAACTCAGGGTAGGATTTGATTATTTAGAAAGAAATTTAAAAAAGCTTATATTCTGATATCAGTTAAATTTAACTGAATCTTTAAGTGTCACATTAACAATTGTTGTTCAATTACAGAGCATATGATTCCAATAAACCATTGGAAAAGGATTACACCTTATACTAATTATTTCCTCGGAATTGAAAGAGGTAGACCAGACCTACTGCTGCTCATGTGGCGAAAGCAGCAAAATATTAATAACTACGATAGAACCAACTGATTTCGCTCTTGCTATCCGTGCCACGGTGCTCCTGCTGCGCATCGACCTTAGACATCACTGGGTACTTACAGGCCTTGGCGAGAAAAGAATAGGGCGAGTTACATAACACGTGCGCACCACGTTGCGCTCGATTCTGCGCACCAACCACCTTGACAAACACAGGAATGACACACTACGGCACTTCGTTTAAAGCCAGACAGACGCTAGGCCATCATGTTGCAAGGAGAAGAAGAGAGAGAGAGACGAGAGAGAGGAGAGAGAGAAGAGAGAGTGTTGAGAAAGATATTTTTGAAATACGGGTTACAAGGAAGGACAGTGATTCAACAAGTAAACCGAGAGCAAAAAACAGACCCCAATGAAATGTAAAGAAGCAGATCGTTTTATTTAGAAAATGCTTACATCAATCTATTTCAATTATCGTGTAAACCTAATGATATTATGTTATCTTGTTGTATTCTTAAAATCCCGCCAATATTGTGGACGCAAAAACTGCGTACCAGGAAAGCTCAACACGATGAAGGCTGTAAAGATGTAATGTTTAGAAGAAATGCATTCATTACATGTTCTAATGAATTGTAACTATGTATAATTTTTAGTATCGGGCTGCATTTAAATTTTCCGATAATATTGTGACACAACTAGTACCTAAAGCTCAAACCACGCATGAAGGTTGTTCCAAGATGCAGCATTTCTAAAAAGAAACGTTCATCATTCGTTCAATGTCTTGTAACGTTGGTGCTAGTTATGGTATCAGGCTGCATTAAAAATTCCCTCTAATATTTTGACGGCAAACTGGTACCCAGAAGCACAACACGATGAATGAAAAGTTGCTTAAAAGACGTAATATTTAGAAAGAAATGGCTCCGATATGTTCAAAATGATTGTAAACGAGGGTGATAGGTACCGGTACGAGACTGCGTTAAATTTTTCCCGCTCGTTTCGCGACACGCCGCAACTGCACCCGAAGCGCCCATTGGCCCAAAGCCCACGTGCCCTCACCGCGGCGCGGAGCGCACGCACGCGGCGCCAGTTGCCGCTCTCGGCGGCGAAGTGCAGCGCCGTTTGCCGCCCGCGTGCGCGCGTGCACGTCGGCGCCTTTCCACCAGCAGCGCCACGCAGGCGCCCGCTGTCAGTCGTGTGGTAGGCGGCCAGCTGCAGCGGCCGTTGAAGCCCAGCTCCGTCTTGCGAAGGCACGTTGCGCCGCGCTTCACCAGCAGGTGCAGCACGCCCCGGGTGCGCCCTGCGGGCCAACGCGGCGCGCGCGCGCGCGCGCCGAGCTCCTCTTATTGAGGAAATTGGTTCACGGGCGCGAGGAACTGCTTACGGGCGTCACTTCCCAATGCTTTGTCCCGGTGAGGGCCGCCAGTGGTATACGATCTTGCTTCGAGGTCCCGCCGCCGACGTACACGTCGACTTACTGGATTGCTTCTCCACAGATCGGGCACCGCCCAAGCCGGAACAAGATCTAAGCTTCAGATTACTCTTTCGGTATGCGACGGAGTGCAGTACAGGCAAGTGTTAGGGAAGAGTAAGCGCAAGTATAAGGACAACAGTCGAAGAAAAAATCTGGAATGGCGATACTTTCTTCCGGCATTTCACCTCGACATGGGATCGCTCAGAAACGAGGTAAGCGAGTCAACAGCATGGAAGACTGGACATCACCTAGACACAGGTCAATTCGACTGAGCTTAGGAGCATGGTGCACGGCTGGAATGGCGGTGCCCAACTGGACGCGAGAAGAGAAGCGCTGACGAGGAGGAAAGATATCCCCACATCAGCTACTGACGAGACAGTAGAATTCGGCGCCGGTATCTCACCACCTTCAGCATCAATTCAATTTACCGAGATCGACGGGACTAAATAAAACTGAAATAGGTAACCATGACGAAATAACCTACTCACACATTCCACATGGTCAATTAATCAATTAAAAGCTGACTAGGTGAAATTCCTCCGAAGCGCCAATATATTCGACGATACGAGTGAAGCGTTTCGCGTTACACGGCATACTGACACAACTCTCTGGCGGAGTATCTCTGGGCAGCCTTGAACGTAAGAGTAAGAGCAAAGAGACCGAAAGCGTCTCAAAGAGGCCGATCTGAAAATGAAGTAAAAAAACATGTGGATCAGTTAGCCTGGAGGAAAAGCAGAAGCAGTCCTGCATATCAACAAATTAAATTAAGATTCATTTAAAAACAAACCTTAGCAAAGAAAAAAAAAGCTATACTAAATAACATGGTTAGTAACATTGGTGTACATCCAAAATAGTCACAAACGAGTTTCATACTTAATATGTGCTTAAAAAGCTTACGATTAATTAATTATGAGTTTTTCTTTATTAGCCAAACAGCACATCAAATATTAGGCAAGGGCCTCCTGCTCCGCGCAGAGTATCAATAATTTCCTCCTTTAAGCATGGATGGATTAATGATGATGACGAATGATGAAGAAGGGAACCGACCACAAAAATAACATATAACAATGCCCGGAGGCGCGGATTCAACAGGAACGATACCTTACAGACTCAATTCCCACGACACTAACATAACCTTAAGCAAGTTCCCAGTGGACTAATACCGAATACGAACAATTAACGAGTATAATAGGTATACCAAAAAAAAAACATAATAATAGTGAATTCAGAAAAGAGATGTTCATAAGTAATAAAATAAAAATGCTTTTGCCATTCCATGTATGCTCTTATTTTTACTTAGAATTATGAAGCATACCCCAAACGTGCCCACGTTAAACGTTGTGCACTGTTCAATGATACAACCTTGAAAACAGATGTTTTACCCCCCACGACGACACGTTGTTCAAAAACGTTTTAAAGGCAAGACTGACTGAAGCACGCGCTAGCAACAGTAATTCGGACCGTAAGAATAAACGTAATGTTTTTGACAATTATTATTGAAATTCCCATTCCCGTTCCAGACAGACACGCGTGGGGTTACAGTATGAATTAATAATACACAACACATATTTGCTTATTTAGTTCCCCAAGGAACTCCTCTTATTCTAAAACATTTTATAGTTTGTATTGAAACAATTGGAAATGTAATCCGTCCATTAACTTTAGGTGTTCGATTGGCTGCAAATATAATTGCAGGTCACCTTTTACTACCCCTATTAGGTAATACAGGACCTATAATTATAAACTAAGTTATGTTAATCCAATTTCTCATTTTATCACAAATCCTACTGTTAATTCAGTTATCAGTCTCAGTTATTAAATATTATGTATTTTCCGTACTAACTACATTATATTCAAGAGAAATAAATTAATTTTAACTCATCAAAATCAACCATTTCACATAGTAAATACCAGTCCATGATCCATTACAGGAGCTATTGGAGCTATAACAAAAGCAGCATGATTAATTAGTATATTTCACCAATTTAAATTTATTATCATTTCAAGCGGAACCTTAATTACTTTATTATCTATAATTCAATGATGACGAGACATCACACGAGAAGGAACATATCACGGCATACATGCATCAATTCTTAACTCAGAATTACGCTGAGAAATAGTTCAATTTGTTGTATCAGAAGTATTTTTCTTCGTTTCATTTTTCTGGGCAAATTTCTCATAGACACTTGGCTCCCAATGTTTATTTACGAATAACTGACCACCTATTGGAATTAAACCATTTAATCCAACACAAATTCCTCTCCTAAATACAGCTATCCTATTTGCATCAGGTGTTACAGTTTCATGAGCCCGTCATATCTTAATGGAAAATAATTAAAGACAAACCACATTATGATTACTATTAAAAAATATTCTAGGAATTTACGTTAGCATTCTTCAATCATATGAATATACTGAAGCCCCATTTACCATTATAGATTCTGTTTACGGATCATCATTCTTCATAGCTACGGGATTCCATGGACTTCACTTTATTATTGGTACAATATTCCTTCCATTATGCATAATACGACACATAATATTCCATTTCTCAGCCAATCATCACTTTGGAATTGAAGCAGCAGCATGATACTGTCATTTTGTAGATATTGTACGACTATCATTATATATTTCTATCTACCGATGAAGTAGTTAACTTATTTAGTATATTTGACTTCCGATTAAAAGGATTGATTATCAAAATAAGTAATTTTAATTACCTCCATCAATCATATTTATCTTAATTTTATCATTTATTTTAATATTACTATCAACAATTAAATCAAAAAAAACTTATTAAACCGAAAAGAAATTTCGCAGTGCGAATGTGGATTCGACCCAAAAATATCAGCAAACCTACCATTCTCTCTACGATTCTTCGGAATTGCATTTAGTTTTCTAATTTTTGATGTAGAATTTTCTTGAATTATTCCTGCCATAATTATTTAGTTCTCCTCATATCTATTACAATGACTACTGACATCAACATTCTTTATTATTATTTTACTTCTAGGCTTGTATCATGAATGAAATCAAGGCGCCCTACAATGAGCTGAATAGAGATTATAGTTATTATGCAACATTTGGATTGCATTAAAAAAGTACTGATTATGCAATTGATGTCAATTAAGAAGCAAATTTATGCATTCAGTTTCGACCTGACAGACAGATTATATAATCATCAATTATTGTAAAATATTAAAACATTTTCTGTGTAATTAAAATATACCGTTTTGTTATAAACTATATAAAATAGAAATAACAACGAAATTTAACCGTTAATAAGAAAAGTAAGCAGCTCACTTTCGTACAACTTATTTCCTTAATTGGAAAATAAAATCAATGATATTATTAACAATAACATACTTCTTTGTTTTCAATTAACTAACTAAAGATTTAACATCTCCTTAACCTCTTCAATGTCGTACTCTGTTACGTCGTAAGCAGTTAAGCTGTTAAGTCATAATAAGCAGTTAAGTCAAAATAAATCTAATTACCACCACAATGTAAATTAATAACTAAAAAATATTCAAAACATAAATCTCAATAAATAATACTTTAAATAATCAAATTGATTTTCTTGATTACACACTCCCATCGAACATCAAAATATAAATAATCCTTGACCTCCAAGTTCCTCTCTTCACCCATGATCAATCACAGAAGCAATATTCAAAGCCCCATATAATGGATAAGATTTAGTTATATAAGTAAATATAAATAAGGTATGAACCAAAAAAGCCACCATAAGGCAGTCAAAGGTATCTGATTTACAATTCTATCTATTGCATGAAAATCTTGAAGATCATTCAAACAATGAATAATAATACCCGCACACAAATAATAAAGCCTTAATAATGCACGAGTTAATGAATGAAAAAACCTAATTAATAATAAATAATCTAATCCAATAGTTCTCATTATAAGACCCAATTGACTCAACGCTGATAAAGCAATAATCCGCTTCAAATCAAATTCAAAATTAGCACCCAAACCAGATATAAATACCAATAAATATTATACAATCAATTATTGAATATACCCCTGCTGTAACAAAAGTTGATGAATAAACCAAAGCAGATACAGTTGTAGGAGCAGCCATAGCTGAAATCAAGAGGAAAAACGAATTTGAGCTCTCTTAGTCAGAGCACTTCAAATAATCAAAAAATCAAATACCGTATTTCAACATCCAAGCCCCAAAACTATCAATATATCCTCTTATTCCATCTACCATATCTTATTATTCAAGCTATTGACAACACCAAAGCAACATTACCAATACGATTTGATAAAGCTGTAATCATACCAACATTATAAGATTTTACATTTTGATAATAAATTACTAGACATTAATATACTAATCCCAAAACATCTCATCCAAATACAATTCTAATTAAATTAGGACAAATAATATAAAACATTACAGATAATACAAATATTTATACTTAAATAATAAACCGAATTAAAATCTACATCAATTATATAACAATCTTTATAATTAATTACTGAAGACGAAATGTAGATAAATATCTTAAACAATAAAGATTTATAATCCAAAAATAATTCTAATAACAATATTACAAGAATTGATAAATACAATATTATAATCCAAAAAAAATTACATACTCACTCACACAATCAACTAACCCAGAAAAATACATTATTATTGATATAAAAAATAAAATAAGATAATTTCAAATAAAATTATAATAATTAATTGCCTAATATAACATCTATTATATACCTTTGATTCCACAAATCAACATTCTTATTCTACTAATGAACCTAACACCACAAAAAATACCCGACGCAAAATTATAATACTTAAACGTAATCAAAGTAAAAATAATAATAAATATTAATGAAGATACCCAACAACATAACTAAATGAACCCGAAAAACCCATTCTATTTTGACTGTAAGAAAAGAAATACAATCTATAAGCAGGTTCAAAAAAGATATCAAAGCAATTAAAAACATTCTTAATCAATTCCACAATATAACCATTTAATCAATCTAATTTCTGCCAATAAATTCAAAGAAGGAGGAGCTGTCATATTAGATGATCTAAGTAAAAATCATCATAATGCTATTAAACATATTAATTATTAATATTAATAATCAATTATTAATTCCCTTATTAATATTACTTCTACGACCACTAACAAATCTAATAAACAATATTATTTAAAAAATAAACCAGAAGAACACTATCCATGCCCGATTATTATCACATAACAACCACAAAAACCTCAAGAATTTAAAACCATTATACTACCCAAAACCATGCCTATATGAACAACAAATGAATAAGCAAATCATGATTTCAAATGAACTTGACATACACATATTAAACCTATTAAAAACAAAAAATCTAATACCAATGCAACAAAAATATATTTTAAACAACAAAACACTATAATTCTAAAAACAAGCATTAATCCATAACCACCCAACGTCAATAATACACCTGTCAACGCCATAGAACCAGAATTACCTACTATTTTTTTCCCTTTTTTGGCTTAAAGAATTCCAAATCTATATACAACGTCTAAACAACTAAGGAAGAAAAGAATTAATTTATTATGCTTGCATTCACAATAAATATTTTTTACGAAGGGTACAATATATATTTATTAATATATACGCTTATATTTAATAATTATATATATATACTGCATATAATACATTTTAATTGTATTCTAAAATTAACTTCTATGTGCATACACATTCAAGTGGTTATAATTATTAATACATTTATATATATAAAGATGAACCTGATATAAGTGATATTCTGTACATTATATATGTAAATATGGTCTTATATAACAACGGAATAATAAAACATCAATCCGAACTGGAGGACAATCTAAAATTTAAAAAAATTGTACTCCCTCAAATGGATTAATGTTTTATTATTCCTAATATTTATCCTACAAAATAAAGTCCTATTCAATCACTAAAAATTGAACCAAACTTTATAAAATGTAAATTAAATTAAAATAATGAATAATGACTGAAAAAGGATTTTCTTGATGGGATAAATCATGCAAAATTACTTTCATTAAATTTAATAGAATTAAACTTATTTAAAAATTCAAAATTTCTCGTGTAAAATTACTCTTCCCGTAATGATCGAGGGGTATGCGAGTTCGAGAGGGTGGGTTGGTGCTTTCCCGGCGAGCGACCCCCAAGCGCTCCGTGCTTTGCCGCCTACTCTAGTGGACAAAGAAATAGTTAGGCGGAGGGTGTGACTAATCGGGGCCTCTCGGCGCCGAACTTGTTAAGACCCTCTCGTCCGTCGGTTTCACGCCGCATTTTGTAATAGACCAGTCGGAAGTTTAATAATTATTTCATCATCAAAATTAGTGTTCGACATACAACCTTTTGTGGAATATCAGTCTCGCGAGACGCACATCGCGTTCTTTTCTTTAAACTGTTGGCGAATCTTTCCCTCACCTGTTCGACGACAGCATCAACAACATGCGGGCTATCTGGTAATTTAACATGTCTAAAAGAACAACCAGTTTCAATAAAGCACTTCGACCAACAGTAAATTGTAGGCTTTTTCGAGGTTCTATCGGGTATTTGGTACGAACTTTACGCTGAACTGTAGTTGCCGAATTTGTTTTGTGAATTCAAAGCTCACAGCTAGCTCACTTCTTAGCCCATTTCAACAATGAACTATACTGGTGCTCCTGGTGACTAAATGTTGTTCTGTGGTATTACGTCAATCATGAGGCCTCTACCACAAAATGACACTTGTAACAATTGTGTAAGTTATCTCAATAAACATGTATATGCTTTGAAAGGTGTAATGTTGTTTGTGATTCATCCTGTATTTTAGCCAACTAGGATTTATTTGCCTGATGATTTGTTAAAAAACTGGAGTCAACAGCGCTGGTCCGGGCACTGGCGATACGAATCGCGGCTGCGTTAATCGCGTCTTGGCATCGCGGTCGGGCACTTACAGTCACTCTGGGCTCGCGGTCGGGCACTTACAGTCACGGCCCATTGCGATTGTTCCCAGCCAGCGTCCCCAGAGACGGCATGAGATGTGGCGATGGTGCAAGGCATTCGGGTGGCGGTGCAGCGGCAGTGCATCCGCTGGCGTCCCCCCGTGTGTTGAAACAACACGACCCCCCCTCGGCAAGGCCCACCAACCATCCTGGATGCTACCCTGATCGGAATCGGAATGGCAGAGCTCAATCTCCTCGTCGGCTCCGCGTGTCATCGTTAACGGACGCCCGCGTCTTGTCAAATTCTGCGAAACCGGAACGTCAATCAAATTCCGAGAAGCGAGGGCGTAGCGGCGACGTCTCGCTCGAAGGGAACGGCGTACGTATTTCTCCATGAGTCACCGGATGCGGCCTTGCGTAGGATGTGCCAAGACAAAAGGGCTGGATTTCTCAGCGTTCCCGACGCTCCGAAAGCGCATGCAGGTACAGAAAAACTGCACGTTTCGAGGCGTCTTTCGCCGCAGCGTTATACCCAACATAATTTTGTTAAATACGCGTCGGCACCTGACACGTGCGACCGTTCCATTACAAAACAAAGAGAACATTGAATAGCCAAATTGAAAAACAATCGAAACTAGTAGGGTTACAGAATGGCACACTCTTTCCTGTAAAACATGGCGTTTATATCATTTCGTAGAGTCCATTTAGAACTATCTATACCACCAGTTAAAAAAAACTAGTTACAAATTTCTACTACTTTGGAATAATTCATAACAAGTCAAAACTTTTAAAACGTCTTCAACGTTTGCTGTATAAACATTTAACATTTGCTTCATAAAAATGGATGGGAAAATTTAATCAAATTAGATAATGTTGGGCTGGGGTGAGTTAGCTCAAAGCCCGCAAAGTCGCTATCTGATGGGAGATTGTAGGGTTTGAATTCTGAGGTGGCGTAATTTTCAACACTAGCTTATTTTAGATAGGACGATTTGGGACGCTATCTGGATGAGAATTCTAGAGGCCGGCTGATTTGATCGGAAGTTCTCTGTGATTTCGCAATAATCTCCAAGCGAATGTCGTAGCAGTACTCTATTAAACGGTCCATGGGCCGCACGCGATATTTCCATTTCCTTCTTTGTCTCCATCTCTCTCCTTTCTCACACAAACTCACCAGCCCTACACAACCGCAATTGTCTGAAGATCAATCGAGAACTTAAATGTACAGTGCAGAAATCCCAACCACTAAAATTCTTTTCCAGCCAACAGCAGAATTCGACATAGCTAGAATACTATGGACAATCCTCCACCGTCGAGACTAGACACTCAGGACCTGCTGGTCAGAAACGCTGCGGTGTCAGTAGTTGTGACTTTCAGCCATCTCAGCTGTAAATTCACAATAGATTTCCCCCAAAATACCGATGTGAATCTACATAAATATCGGTATAATACCTTTAAATAATACGTCGGATAAAGTACCTCTAAGAATATGGGTATTGCACGTCGTATACTCTGCATTTCCCACAGCATAAAGTAACGGACAGTAATCTATAAAATAAAGACTGTAATCCAATACTTATTTGCGTTTGGAATGGAGTTTATGGATATATGATACTTTTAAAAAAATGCATTTTAAGTTCCTAGGCTATTTCATTTTAACATGCCAACATTTCGAGGCCATGTCGAGTTTCATTTTCAAGACTAAAATAATCAGAATAAATATATAATGTAAATATATGAAGTTAAAATAAGAGGAATAGAAAGACCACAGTAAATGTATAAAGGATACGTGTAAATATTATTGCGAGTATTATTAAAGACGAGGGCAAGAAACTTGTGAAGCCACGTGCAATGCGAAATCACCGAAGGAATCATGGGGCACAATGCAACAAATCAATCTTCATATTTATTGCTCGTACTGCCCCGAACACTGGTACTTTTCCAGAAGGAATGACTCATCCGGAGTAGAAAGAAACGAAAAGTAGGTGGGAAAGCTGTGAAATCACGGACCGCTACCGTAATAGTATATTTCCGCATAAGCGTCGGCACACAAAACAGAACAAGATCGCTAGCAGAAAAAAAAGGAAAAACACGTGGCGCGGCCGCGGTCAGAGGCCGAAGGCCGAGTGGCAGGTGAGGTCGCACAGCGAGGACTGCGCGTGCGCCTTGATGCACAGGGAGGGCGGCTGGCGGCGGCGGCGCGCACACACGCGCAGCAGGCGGCGCAGCGAGGCCGTCCGCGCCAGCGCGTGCGGTGTCCGCCCCTCGTTGTCCTTGGCCATCAAGCTCGCGCCTGCGCACGCAGCGGCAAGCGCGAAACGGCTTCGGGTGCGTTCAACCACAGGTTTTGATTACACAGAATAAACTAGTGGCGCTACAGAATGCTACGCGCTTAACCCTATTAGTTTTCTATCGTCTTTGCTCTCGGGCAGCTACTCGGAGTTGCCACATACTCTTGCCAGCTGCCATCTATCGTCGCCTAAAGTAAATTGTTTTATATTATCTTAATTTTTCAGTTTCCTAACTGTACAACGAAAATATAATTTTCAGAAAATTAAATAACAGTAATACGACGTACTAATTTTCCATTTCCTTTCAAAAAGTCAAGCTTTTTTAAGAAAACCTTGTTTTTTTAATTTTTTAATATTGCACAAATTGCACGCAATATTATGCAAAAACTAAAATTTTCAAAAAATGTTCAATTACTCAGTATGTACGTAACGGGAAGAAAAAAGGAAAAGTCAGACCGCCGACGTGACACATGCTTCTTTGCTAAATTAAGGGGGGGGGGCATGGTGTAAACAGAATTCTTGTTTTGTGAGTCATTGATACTGATACGAAAATGGTGAAAAAATATCAAATTTACTACAGCGTTTCAGTTAATGTTCAAATGTAAGAAAAATTTAAAAAAAAAACAACAAATTTTCTTAAATTTATATATCTACATCCAACTTAATCGTATTTCATGTGTAACGCGTAAAAGCGTTCATGGCGAGTAGCTGTCTCCCTGAACAAAAATCAAGAATATTGTTTATTTTGTTTTCTTTTGAACATTTGATATCTATATGCTATTAGAGATCAAATAATTATTTTTTCTGTAGTTAATTGGCCAAAATAAAGTTCCTTACTTCAGACATTTTATTTTCACAAGATTATGTAATTTAAATAATTCTTTTTGTATATTAAACGCAAATGTATGGTCTCGTGAATGAACTAGAATGGTAATGGTACTGTGAAAACTCACGGGTAGGATTTGATTATTTAGAAAGAAATTTAAAAAGTATATTCTGGATATTTCAGTTAATTTAACTGAATCTTTAAGTGTCACATTAACAATTGTTGTTCATTACAGAGCATATGATTCAATAAAAATTGAAAAGGATAAAACTTTACTATTATTTATCATTAGAGATAGACAGCTACTGCTCTCGTGTGGCGAGGTATTTAACTACGTAGAACCGCTGATTTCGTCTTGCTATCCGTGCCAGGGTCTCCTGTTGGCGGCATCGACCTTGGCATCACTGTCTTTCAGCCTTGGAGGAAAAAGATGGGTGAGTTACTCCGGCGCACCACGTTTTGCTCGTTCTGCGCACCACCACTTGACACAAACCACGTGACCACAGTACGGGCACTTCGTTTTAAAAGCCAGACCAGACGCTGGCCATCATGTTGCAAGGAGAGAGAGAGAGAGAGAGAGAGAGAGAGAGAGAGAAATGTTGAGAAATATTTTGAAAGTGGTACAAAGTGACAATGTTCAACAGTAACCAACAAAAACACAATGAAATTGTTAAAGATGCAATATCGTTTTTTAGAAAAATGCTTCATCAATCTATTTCAATATCTTGTAACTAATTGATATTTATGTTATCTTGTTGTATTTAAAATTCCCGCCAATATTGTGACGCAAACTCGTACCAGAAGCTCAACACGATGAAGGTGTTAAAGATGTAATGTTTAGAAGAAATGATTCATACATGTTCTAATGAATTGTAACTATGTGATAATTTTAGTATCGGGCTGCATTTAAATTTCCCGATAATATTGTGACACAAACTAGTACCTAAAGCTCAACACGATGAAGGTGTTCAAGATGCAACATTTCTAAAAAGAATGCTTCATCATTCGGTTTCAGTGTCTTGTAACGTGGTGCTAGTTATGGTATCAGGCTGCATTAAAAATTCCCTCTAATATTTTGACGCAAACTAGTACCAGATGCTCAACACGATGAAGGTGTTAAAGACGTAATATTTTGAAAGAAATGCTCCGTATATGTTCCAATGAATTGTAACGAGGTGATAGGTACGGTACGAGGCTGCGTTTAAATTTCCCGCCCGTTTCGCGACGCGCGCACTGCCACCCGAAGCGCCCATTGGCCCAAGAGCCCACGTGCCCTCACCCGCGGCGCGGAGCGCACGCACGGCGGCGCCGTTGCCGCTCTCGGCGGCGAAGTGCAGCGCCGTCTTGCCGCCGCGCGTGCGCGCGTGCACGTCGGCGCCCTTGTCCACCAGCAGCGCCACGCAGCGCCCGCTGTAGTCGTGGTAGGCGGCCAGCTGCAGCGGCGTGAAGCCTAGCTCCGTCTTGGCCAGCACGTTGGCGCCGCGCTTCACCAGCAGGTGCAGCACGCCCGGGTGCGCCCTGCGGGCCAACGCGCGCGCGCGCGCGCGCCGAGGCTTCCTGTTATTGAGTGGGTTACGGGCGCGAGGAACTGCTACGGGCGTCAGTTGCAATGCTTTGTCCCGGGAGGTGGCGGAGGTATACGATCCTTGCTTGAGGTCCGCCGCCGACGTACACGTCGACTTACTGGATTGCTTCTCCACAGATGGGCACCGCCCCAGCCGGGACAAGATCTAAGCTTCAGATTACTCTTTCGGTATGCGACGGAGTGCAGTACAGGCAAGTGTTAGGGAAGAGTACGAGATAAGGAAAAGGAAGAAAAAATTGGATGGGATACTTTCTTCCGGCATTCACCTCGCATTGATCGTAGAAACGGTAACTAGTCACAGCACCTGGAGACTGGAATTCACCCCTAGACACAGGCTCAATTCGACTGAGCTTAGAGCTTGTCACGGCTGTGGCGGTGACTGGCTGGGCAAGAAGCGTGGAGGAGGAAAATTCCCCACAAGCAGGCAAGTAGATTGGCGCCGGATCCCACCTTCGGCATCACAATTTATTACATGGTCGGGACTAATAACCTGAATAGTTGACATGGCGATAAACCTCAATCAATCAATTAATCAATAAAAGCTGACAGGGTGGTTCTTCCGAGCGCCAATATATTCGACGATCGAGTGAAGCGTTGCGTTCCAGCGCATCTGAACGCGCGGTGTCTTTGGGCACCTGCGTGGGAGTAAGCAAAAGCCGAAGAGTCTCAAGAGCCTGATCTGAAATGGGTAAAAAACTATGTTCAGTGCCTGGGGAAGCAGAAGCAGTCCTGCATATCACGAATTTTCATTTCAATCATTTTAAACCCTTGCAAGAAAAAAAACTTACTATCAGTTGGTAAATTGACGTACATCCAAAAGAATCACGAGTTTCATAATAATATGTGTTTAAAGCTACGAGTTAATAATAATGAGTTTCTTTTAATTAGCCAACTGCACATCAAATAATGGGCAAGGGCCTACTGCTCGCGCAAAGTATCATTAATCCTCCTGTAATGTAGGGAAAGGAAGATGATGATGATAAAGAAGGGACGACCACAAATACATTCATGCCGGAGGCGGGATTCGAACCAGCGATCCTTCGACCTCAGTTCGCCACGACACTACTGCCTTAGCGTTCCCGGCTATCCGAATCGACAATTACGAGTTAATAGTTACCAAATCTTAATAATGATTCGAAAGAGTTTAATAATAAAATAAAAATGGCTTTGCCATTCATGTATGCTTTATTTTCTTACTTGATTTGTAAGCTACCCAACGTGCGTAAACGTCTGTTTTGCACTGTAATGTCACCTTGAAAACAGTCTTTTACGCGCCACGACGACACGTTGTTCAAACGTTTTTAAGCAAAGACTGACTTGAAGCACGCGTAGCACAGTATTCGACCGTAGAAGAAAACGTCGTTCCCCCCTCGCGAGGGGGTGGGGGGGTGGCTGTACCTGCTGGCGGCGCGGTGCAGGGGCGTCCACCCGCTGGCCGACGCGTAGTTGACGTCGGCGCCGGCGTCCAGCAGGTAGCGCACGTAGGTGGGGCGGCCGTCGCGCGACGCCCTCAGCAGCTTTCTGCAGAGCGCCTGGAAGCGCCGCATGCACGAGCAGTGGGGCTTGGCCGGCTCGCGACACGGCCCCGGGCACGGGTCCTGCGCAGGCAGGCGGCGACTGAATCGTTCATTTCGCAAACGCGTCAAACGTCAAACTCTATAGCACGCGTTAGCGACAAAATATTATAGCGTTTCTCGGTGGTGAATTAAAACCACACAGGTATAATTTAACAAAAACGTTTATTCGTACGCAGTTATACACTAAAACTGGTTGATCTATTTACAGGTATACTACACAGTTATTTTGCTCTTCACTTGATTATTTTCTTTACACACAACTTCGTTCTCTTGATTATTTATTTACACAGTTCACTTCTTTTACAGTATCACCCAGTCCGATGCACTGTCCACGGGCCACTGCGCTGACCACAATTCACTGCGCAGACCAGGGTCCACTGCACTGCTGTTTACCGCGACGCACACTTCACAGCTCAGCTTCCACTGCAGACTTCACACTGCTGATTGCTGTTCACCCACTGCACCACTGTTCACCGCATTGCACACTTTACAGCACAGCTTCCAGTTCAGACACTGACGGACTGACTGCTTAGTCACCGATCACATACACTAACTGATTCGCAGCTGCTTACTTCCGACTACTACTTACACTGACTTACATTGACTGACTAACGTCTTACAGACTGACTATTCACTAACTATTCACTCGCGGCGAATTTATAACTGGCCGGCGCTCGTCTCGACACAAC